CTGGCCCTGATAATATACCACCATTATTTGTGAGGAATTGCTGTTCTGCTCTTGTTTCACCTTTAACAACAATTTTTAATCGCTCTTTGAATGATGGAATATTTCCAGATGAGTGGAAAAGGGCTAGAGTTGTGCCAGTTCACAAAAAGAATGATAAAACGGACATTACTAACTATAGGCCAATTTCGATTCTGTCATGTCTTTCTAAGCTTTTTGAGTGCCTTGTGTATCCAGTAATCTACAGTCACGTGCATATGAATATTACAGATGTTCAACATGGTTTCATGCCAGGTAGATCGGTGGAGTCAAGCTTGGCATGCTTTGTTTCGACTGTATCACGGAGTATGGATAGAGGCCTACAAGTGGATGCAATATACACGGATTTCTCGAATGCATTTGACAAAGTTAATCACCAGGTCATGTTGTCTAAACTCCGTGTAATGGGCCTGGATGGGTCACTACTGCTTTGGTTCTCGTCGTATGTATTCATGAGACCTCAGACGGTGGCTTTTGATGGATTTGAGTCCAATATATTCTTCGCGGAGTCCGGTGTGCCACAGGGCTCACATCTGGGACCATTACTGTTTTTAATTTTTATCAACGACATAGTTGAAGTGATTGATCACAGCGGTATATCCATATTTGCTGACGACATTAAAATATTTAAAACTGTTAACAGTATGGTGGACGCTGGTCTTTTGCAGTTCGATCTGAACAAAATACACGATTGGTGTGTTGATAATGGTATGTTGTTGAACCCTTCCAAGTGTCACCACATTGCCTTCACCAGAAAGCACTGCCCTTTTAATACCAGTTACATGTTGAGCGGCGTGACTCTGACGGAAGTTCAGGAGGTTAGAGATTTGGGAGTTGTGCTGGATAAAAAATTGAAATTTTGTACTCACACTGAGAATTCAGTACAGCGCGCGGCTCGCATGTTAGGTTTTTTAAAAAGAAATGCTAAAAAGTTCCGAAATAGACAAACTAAGAAAATTCTTTATAATGCTCTCGTACGCAGTCATCTTGAGTATGGAAGTGTTGCTTGGAATCCTGTTTATGCTGCTAGGTCACAGCGTATAGAATCGATACAGAGAGCGTTCACAAGATATTTGGCTTTTTCCACTCCAGGCATATCTTACAGGCAACCTTACAATCAACGGCTACTTTTCTTTGAAATGACACCTTTGAAGAATCGGCGTTTGATAGCGGATCTGATGTTCTTATATAAAATTATTAATAACAAAGTAAACAGCACCTCTCTTCTTAACGAAATCGGAATTGCGGTCCTTTACAAGTACCCCCGATACCGAATTCGCAAATTATTCAGCATGCAGGCTCATAGAACAAATTTGGGAATGCATTATCCTATAGCTAGGATATGTACACAATACAACGAAATTTTGAAAGACGTACCCAATATTGACATTTTCAATGATTCCCCTGCTATTTTCAGGAAAAAACTAAACAGTTACTTTCGGCCAGTCAGTTCACACTCTGTATAAAATATAATTTCTGTAGTTCAGTTAAGTGTCTTTGATTCGATTTTATTTTATTTTATTAATAATTGTATTGTTATGGTAAATGCTGTGTATACCTGTAATTGGCGAGCGCATTGAAGTTGAACCTTTTGTGAATTATTTTGGATGTTGTGAATGTTGTATGTGTTTTGCTGTTGGTGTACCTTGTTATAAATAAATAAATAAATAAATTCCTTTATTATGTCGCTTAAGGACGGCGCCTAGAGCCATAAGATCTCGGTCACCGATAGGTTTCGATACTATTTCACTTTCATAAATTACGAGATATTCGAAATTTCCTCCATCCTCGGGGTATTGCCTGCTATAATTTTCAATTTTATAAGGCTTATACTTATCGCAGTCATTTTCGTCGGAGGAGTCCAACTCCGTTGGAACCGGATCTCCGTCTAATTTGTGTTTCTTTCTTTTCCCCATAATTCTTAGCCCACTTTTTACGGACTACTACCTTTTATGTATTAAATAATTTGTTTATACTGTTTATATAAGGCTTTAACAATAAATATAATAAAACTTAAAGTTTGTTTTAAAAAACGCGCCCTCTTCGTTCAAAGGATTCCCGCCTTTTCGACAATGAGGAGAAGCAACACCGACGGCTATTTGCATCAGGCGGTTGCAAAGAGAACAGTAATAATACGGAAAAAGAGCGCCCTCTCACGTGTATTTAGCGCCAATCAGAATAGAAGCGCCATCTGCATTACTTCCCCAAAAACTATTGCTATATAGGTATACCTATAGTAGGTATGTATTATAGTTATAGGATTCTTTCTTCGCGCCACTCGAAAAATACAAACTGTAAAAACCGTAGTAAAACTTTTAAAAGAAAATTGAGAATAATGAACAACTTTCTTTTAAAAGTTTTACTATGGTTTTTACAATTTGTATTTTGTCGAACGACGATAACAAAAAGAGGACAAAAACTTGAAAAAGAAACGACATTGTTCACTTATTATAAGTTGTTTATTTCGATAAGTTAAAAAAATGCATACAACACATGATCAGCATAGTCATTCATAAAAAAATACAAGTATACATTTTATTATTTTCTGTTTTTGTAGTGTTTCCTTTTTTTATAATATACTTGCGCTGTCAATTTGGTCTCGTCATCACCCTGGTAATTAATGCTTCCACTCAAAATTCTATTTACTGACTTGCACCAATTATAAATAATTAAATGTACAGTTGTTTTAACAATATGTTGATAAAAACAATCAGTGTGATGAGAACACTGTTACAAATAATTTTACAACAGAAAGTATATTTCCTGATATATTACTTTTGGTAAAAAAATTTTTTAACGTTATGTGAGTAATATATCACTGAAGCAATTTTCTAGTGGAGTACTTGGATAACGTAACCATTTTTTATCATTTTTATATTCTTTTGATTTTATAAATGTATCATGTAGGTTCTCTCCATTTTTATCTTGCAATATGTATCTCGCTGCATGCAGTACATTTCGCCTTTTTCAAATATTTTGTTAATGCCCATCCACATACATAGTTAATTTGACCGGCGTCATTATTGTCATTAGAGCCCATTATAATATTTTCATTAATAAATATTTCACTATCATTTTTGGGAATATCAGTAGTTTTTTAAATTTTCTGTTAAAAAAAAAAATGTTTTGTAGACATTGATTATAACCTGCCTCACAGTTTACTTTAAGTGAATGAGGCGTGTTGAAATTATTTAATAGCAATGATTTATACGCTCCTTCAAATCCAACAGTGTTAGGAGCTATGTTTCTAACTCCGTAACTTCTGATATTCCCAAAGAAGTTTTCAATGGGGTCTTGATTTAAATTCCTAGTCAACATACAATTTAACCTATATTTTTGATACAAAACCTTCCAAATTGCCTCCATGCTTTCAATTGTTTTTATAAAAATTTTGGATGAAGGAATTACACTTTGTATTGCAATGACTTGACTAGCAATATTTTGTTTTTTTTTTTATGAATTTTACACTATGCAAAATTTTTTTTGCTCTAGTCCATAACTCGTGATGGGGTGAGATTCGCTTTACCGGACCTTTATAAATTTTTCCATTGAGAATGTTTAGCGTGTTGATATTTAGACTGTCAAATAAATCATCAATTAATAATGTTATGTCCACCAGTTGACGACACTCTTCTGGCAAATCTCCTCGCGCCGTAAGGTGCTCAGCAACTACAGCAACACTGTGACAGAATACTAGCGTTGCTAATTTCACTCTCATTTTATTAATTTTTTCAGGATCAATGTGTTCCTCCGTTAGTTTATTTAATAATCTTAATTCTCCATAGCATTTATCTGCCGCATAAACTTTTTGGTAATACAATCAGCAACTGTAAAATAAAAAAGAAACCTTTTGTGTACTGTTTATAATAAAGGTCCATGATAATAGTTTTTTAAATTATTTACTATAACTGTTTAAATTAAATACCTTGTACAGACGTTCTTTTAGATCTGCTACGCGAACTATAGTTATGTTCCCTGATGATATCTTCTACATAAGGGATGTACTGAGAGTCAACTGAAAATTAAAGATATATCTATATTATTAATACCAAAAAATAATCTATGTCTTCAACTAGTATTTGGCGAGTACGAAACCAAATATTTATATCAGAAATGATTAAAGTATCTACTTCCATTTAGTAATTGTTTTCTCGCTCTTACATTTTCCACAGAAAACTACTGACTGTATATATGTTTAGTAGTATAACTTGTAGTCTTTAGTTGTATAACTATATAATCTTCATAAATTAGATTATAATCTTTGTATCAATTTTTAGAGATTATAATAAAATTCTAATTAAGCATCACTAAATATATAAAATAATGGTTATATTTATTACTTGGTATACAAATTAAACTTAAAGAGAAAAAAACTTTATTTGAGTGATATTTAGAATGGTGGTTATATTAACAAAAATTAAAACAGGTGAACTTTATATAAGTGCTAAATAAATTGTTTTTAGGCGGCTTGAATATTATATTTGTTGATATATAAAAAAAATGAATATTACTTAATACAAGTCTTATTTTAAACAAAATTATGATAATAGTCATTATTTCAAATGTACATTTTATAATAATAAAATTATTGATATGAAATTATACAAAAAGTTGTTAAAATAATTAAGCATACCCAGTATACTAGTGTGTTAATAATTATTTATTTACCTGAAGAGGACATTTGAGAAGATTGCAATTTATCATGAGATTGGTTGCCATACTTTGAAGAATACAAACTTTGCTCTGTCATTGTTGGAAACAAACCTGTAATGAAAATGTACAATTATGAATGAATGAATGAACACTTTATTGTACTTGAAAATAAAATCAACATAACAATTAATAACAATAAACAGTACAATTGGCGGCCTTATCGCTAAAAAGCAATATCTTCCAGGCAACCAAAAGTTAGACTGGACAGTTACATAAAAAAGATGGGTAGTAAATGGTGTCCTACACAGTTGAAATAAAAATTTTCCATACTAATATATACACACATACATATATAAATATATACAATATATAATATGTATAATAATAAATATACAATAGCCTAATTTAATATTCAGTAAGTGACAGATAGGTAATGGTCTTTTACCTTATTTTTAAAGACATTCAATGATGGTGCACGCTTTATATCATCTGGTAATTTATTCCAAAGGCGGACAGCCTGAACTGCAAAAGACTTGTCGAGAAACTTTGTTGAATGGATTGGCGTCTGCAGTTTTAGGTTCTCTGATGATCGCAAGACACGGGAGTGCGTATCGTGAAGGTAATTAAAACGTTCCCTGAGATACGTTGGAGAGAAAGGATTAAACAGTATACTGTAAAGCAAGGAAACAATATGGGCATTCCGACGAAGACGAATCGGCAACCACTTGAGCTTAGTGCGAAAATCAGATACATGATCATATTTGCGTAATCCAAATATGAATCTTATACTAAAATTTTGAAGCCGCTCAAGTTTATTTAGTTGCTCCTCAGTTAGATCTAGATAGCTGACATCGGCATAGTCCAGGATTGGTAGAAGAAGAGATTGTGCAAGCGCAGTTTTAGTTGCTATTGGTAAAAAGTTACGCAACCGCCTCAAAGAACCAGCAGCAGCAAAGGTTTTACGACTAACTTCCTCAATTTGTGACCGCCATGTTAAGTTTTTATCTATAGCTATGCCTAAATTTTTAACACAGTCACTGGGGGTCAAAGTAATTCCACCAAATGAAATCGCAGGTAAACATGACCAGTCAATTTTATTAGTCATTACGGGGCTGCCAGCTACCATGACTTGAGTTTTTGAAGGATTAACTTTTATTCCGTAACACTTGCTCCAATCAAAGACAAACTCAAGGTCACGGTTTACAGTATTGATGGCAAAAGTTAGTTGGTCAGGAGTAGCTTGGGAATAAATTTGTAGATCATCTGCATAAAGGTGATAGGATGAAACTAGTTGTCGTGAAATTGAGCTAATAAATATAGCGAAAAGTAATGGAGAGAGAACGCCACCCTGCGGCACGCCGGCAGATATGTTGCACCAAGTGGAAAGGGAATCCTCAATGCGTATTCGCTGACGGCGTCCAGACAGGTAACTATGAAACCAATCAACCACTGCTGGAGATATGTTAATAGAGCGTAATAAGCCAAGCAGAATATCAAAGTCAACGGTATTAAATGCGTTACTGAAGTCTAGTAGACAGAGAACCGATACTTTTCCATGTTCCATTCCTGACCTGATATCATCTGTAACATTTACTAGTGCAGTGGTGGTACTATGACCAGCACGGAAACCTGATTGATAAGGATTTAGGAGATGATTTTTGAAGAGGAAAGTG